TATATACATATAAAAATATATAAAAGACAAATGCAAAACCCCACTATCAGCTCTGTACCTCCTGTTCTAGTTCTACATGAAGGTGGTCTCCATCAGCATCCTGCTGCTCCAGTCTTTTCCTCATCTTCTTTAGTAGATTAGAAGGTTTCATGTACACCAGAAACTGATGCAGAAGAGACATCTATGGATACAAATGTTAACAAATTGGACTGGTTTACTGGCAATTGGTTTGGAAACGGAATACCACTACAATATATTTGTTCCCCAAGAACAGGGCATAAAAGGGATTTTTAATTGAAATGGAAGTTTCCATGCTTTGGGGAATTTTTGACTATTCACAAACTAAAGCATTTGTATGTTGCCTCAATAAAAGATCAAGCCTACAAAAACAAAGAGCAACTCTACATGAACACAAAAGGAAGATTGGAAGTATAGATCTCTTTCCAATGTTCAAAATGAATGTTTAGGCACATAAACAATACTGCACTTAAAACTGCAGAACATGCAGGTTACACACATGTGCAAATATACTTCTAATACTAAACTAAAAGTTAGTAATGGTAACTTTGCAAGGTTCTTGAAAATAGGCTTACAGTATTAAAACTTACAACAATAATATTCATGTTTTCTAAACTTTCAACTTACACACACCACATACATGCAGTACCTGCTTGTCACTGTCATCTGGTATTTCTACATCCTTTTTGAGAAGCTTTGAAATGATCACCAGGCTAAGACGTCTTCTTACTTCCCTGAAACACAATTCAAAACCTTTCTTTCACAGAGAATTTCTTAAATCCAAACTGTTTCTACAAAGTATATGAGGCTATGCATGGCTTCCCTAGACATAAACTTGCCTACAACTATTAAATTGGATTTTCTGAATATAAGTGCTATTAGACTAGCAAAGAGGCTAGTGAAATATAAGTACCTTTATCTTATGGGAGCTTTCCCTTCTGCACAGGGAAACACTGCTAGATGGTTTCCTCCAAGCCTAAAACTGAGGGCCCAATTCATTCTCCTTGCTTGGATACATTATAATGTATTCATTTCAAACATATAGAACTCATAACAGAATGACACTTAAATGCAGATATGAATCACCCAAAGAAAATTTAATTTTTGGTCATTCAGTTAAGAATTAGGGTAGGTAATGGATGCCAGAACCTGAAATCTATCTCTGCTGTAGAGTACCAGGAAGTTTGCAGCCCAGAAAACTACACATAAAATGTAACATAACTTTCACAGCAGAGGTGATCAAAAAGCTATATATACACACACTACTGACTGCATATACATTTAGAACACGAGAAAACCCAAGCACACTTTTTAAAGCAGCATGTAATACCTATTGCATTTACCAGACTTTGAGCTTATATTGATAAATCAGCTGTTAACAATACTACATATTTGTGCTGTTACAGTGTCATTACCGTCCACGTGTTACCCAGCTAGGCACCAGCTGAACCAGCCACAGGAGATTATGGTGATGACTGGAGAGTTCACTCAGAGCCAGGCAGAGCTCAGGCATCTTTAAAAGAACAACAAAAATCCCCATACTGAAGAATGGATATGATGGGCATTTGTTTTATTTGTAAAGAAGCACACTTCTACTCCCTAGAAACATACACATCAATGTTAATAGGAATTGATCTAACAAGAGATGATGTGCATAAAGATATTTCTGCATTGCACCTGTAGTTAATTCTGTTAAATACTATTTTACAGAAGGGTAGTCAAGATCAGCTTTTAATTATGTTTTATTAGCTTAGTGCAATCATTTCTTCATCCTTTCAGAAAGCCATTTTAAACATACAGTTATTTTTGCAAATATAAGATTAAGTTCAACACAAACAGTCCCCTTGCAGAAGAGGACAGGCAAACAATGTCAGGCAACAAAACCCACTCAGTATACCCACCCTCCTCCCAAACCTCACGCGAATCCAAAGCTCCCAATTTGTTCATCTTAGATTTTCATGCGGGATGGGGGGGAACAACTTCAAAGCAGAAGTTCCTTGAAAATTAAATTGCAGTTTCATAAATCTAGTAGAAGAAAATTATTTATGAAGTTACCTTTGTATCCCAGTCTTCTATTGTTATCAGAAGCTTTAGGAAAAGGCACTGAAAATCTATCAAAGGAATTTGCTTTAACTGTTTCTCCAAGCTTATTTTAAAAAGCAACAGAAGCAGCAGTATTATTTCTTGATCAGTATATCCACCTTGAATTACTGTTGTACAGAAACCTAGAAACTTTAGAAGAAATAAAAAGCATTAAAATCTGAAATCAGTTTTATTTATTTTGAAGTATGAGGACAACTGAAATTTTCCACCCTCACATCAAAACGTACCTCAAATGATACTGTTCTTGAAACATCTGTGTACTAACATCTCCCCATCTCCCAGCAACTGCACTCTGATATTTTTTTTTATACCTTCTAGAGGCTCATCTTTTGAGCAGTGTCAATATTCCCTGGATATTACAGGAGTAGGAAAGATTTTTCTCAACTGCAGATAATTCTTGTCTAACCGAATGAAAGACTGACATATTAGTATATTGCATATACTAAATATGCAATACTAAAACCAAAAATCAACAGATTTTCCCCCACCAAGTACTATCACATGGGTTACTTACAGTCTGGGAAATATGCATAAATGAGAACACAAATTACTCAAGAGATATGTATTCTGTCTCTAGGGGAGATGCTTCAAGTGCCTCCTCTTGAACTAAATGATTTTATAGTTAAAAATCTCTAGAAAAAATAATTTTAGGATGGTTCAAATACTTCCACAAGGAACTGAAATCAGTTATAACGTCAGTATTTTTACCGTACAACCTTTAATCACAGAGAACTAGCTTGTGAAGTGTGACCAGCACTCATTCAGCCTATTGTCCCACAGGACATAGTGCATGAATCCAACAGCTCACTTCTACAGAAGAGTGAGTCACAGCTTCACCTGCCCTACGGGATCTCCCACTTCATTCACACTGTGCCACGCGCAGACTGATCGCATACCTCCATAAGCTGCACCAACACAATGAGGTAGCATAAATCATACCACAAACATCAACTCCCCTTCCAATTTTCACTGGAACATAGAAATGGACTTTCTTCTACATGAGGGAACAAAGACCTCTGATAAAGGTGCCACAGCTGGAAAAGGGAGGCAGCAGAACTGTGCAGTTGTGAGTGAAGCCAGTGGAAGTCAGGAAAGTCTAATGGCTGCAACAAGCCTGCAATAGTTTCTGCTGAACGTGAATCTGAAACCCCAGGATAGCATCTACTCACCAAACATGCCTAGAACTAGATTAAGACACCAGGGCTTTTGCTAAAAAGCAAAGCAAAGCAAAGCCACCCCCCAAAAGCCAAACCTCTCCCACATTAACTGGAGTTCTCTCACCTTAATCACATTAATTAAATTGTTCTCTGGTAGACTGGAGAAGGCTGGACTGGCAGAGGTTAGCTCTCCTCCTGGCTGGTGTTTACTCATTGTTTCTTGCATCTGACTTCTAAGAAAAGAGACACTAATTGAGCAGTAAATCAACAATTTAAAAGTCCACAAAGGCTTATTTGCATCAAACTGAAGGGAAAAAAACCAACCCCTACATGTTTCAAAATGCCTTCAAATCAAACCACTCCTCAGTTACAGAGCACACGCATCTATCCCAACTTGTAACCAATTAATTATAATTCTGCTCAGCTATTTCCCAATAATTCTTGTAAATCTCCACTAGGAAGACAAAGGACGATGCTGTGGTTTGCTGAATCCTTACCTAGCAGGCATTGTTTGAAGTTCTGGCTTATTTACTCTGAATAAAACCTGAGCTGAGAATTTACAGTATGGTTTGGTGGAAGGGAGAGGAAATAAAGGAGAACCTTCTGATTCTACATTCCAAGCGCAAGGCTTGCTTTCACAGGATCTAAACAATAAATATCAAAAGGAAAACACTTACAAAATATCATACTCGTTAAAGTTGGGCTGAAGCTGCTGCAATGGAAAGAGAGATCTAAACGCAACACCCATATTGACAAAAACAGCTGACACATCTGCTAGTGAAGGAATCCATGGTTTAGACTGTTCATCACTGATGGAAGCTACAAGTAAAAGACATGGAATGGGTTAGTTTTAAACTTAGGTCTTAGCATAAGTTCCTCTCAAGGGAAACAAATAAGCTCAGCAGGCTGCACCAATTCTACCAGCTCTCATCTCAGAGGAGTTGGTACACTGAACACTATGTTTATTTTCAGAAGG